GTTGCTTAGTGAAAGGAACGCCCCATGCACATATGATAATCAGGAAATAAGGAAACAACTGACCTCTTGCTTGGTGATTGGAAAGATCACTGAGTTCCCAAAGAGATTTGAAAACTAAACTGAAAGGGTTGATGCAGGCAAAAACTTCAATATATATGTATAGTGATGTCCCGAACGGTTCGCCGAACAGTTCACCACGGACTCATTGGTGAGTAAACTTTGACCCTGTACCTCACAGTCAGCAGACACATTCCAGCCAATCAGCAGCAGACCCTCCCTCCCAGACCCTCCCACCTCCTGGACAGCTCACTAAGAATGCAGCTTCACAATGAATGTAAAATGGATGCTGTCCAGAAGTTGGGAGGGTGTGGGAGGGAGGGTCTGCTGCTGATTGGCTGGAATGTGTCTGCTGACTGTGAGGTACAGGGTCAAAGTTTACTCAATGATGAGTCCGTGGCGAACCGTTAGTGGCGAACCGTTCGCGAACTGTTCGGCGAACCGTTCGCGAACTGTTCGGCGAACCGTTCGGGACATCACTATATATGTAGCTATATAGTTTAAATATAAATTTAAATATAAAAAAATACATGTTTTGATTTATTGAACAACTCAATCTGTGCAAAATGGTATCTCTTTTAGATTAGTTAATTTCTATTGAATATTATTTAGATGTATATATTCTTTTACAGGTCTTTACCAAGAATTCTTAACAATAATTTGCAACTCCTAATAAGGACGATCATATCTACAGTTATTGCTACACTGACAATAAACATATCTCTACTGGTACAATTGCTGTATTTATGTATAAAAGAACAAAACAATTGATGCACTCACAGACTTACCAAGTGATCAATATTTATATAAAATGGTAAAAGATTTTGATGAATGACAATCAATGTTTAAGCCCCACCTTACTCCTTTGCATGATATACAACAATCAAGTTGCCAGGTTTATGTACAGAGACATCTGTACTGAATATGAGCGATATCTGACAGTGTTGAAATGAAAGATCCCACATATGGAAGTTCAGAATGACTGAGCTAAGATCTTGGGGGGCTATTAGATGCAGATGGGCAAACAATATATTTGCACAATTTCTAGGGACTTGTTATTCTCTTCTCTAAATTCCATAGTTTGTTACATGCTCAAAAAAGAACCAAAGTGAGATCTTAAAGCTCCAAAATAGGAATGATTTTCATCACTGTTTCTATTATTTCCATTAGAGTAAATCATCACTTAAAATATTACAAAGATGACAGTTTACATCAGTCAGGCTATTTAAAATGAATACATCACAATAATGCACTGGAGAGGGTAGTATAGGCGTTGCCACACTGTCGACCTCTGCAACTGTGGGCCGCCATAACTTCAGGGTTGGCTGGGTGATTGCTGGAGGGGAGCGCACAGCACACCGCTCCTCTCCTGACGGTCACTGCTTGTAACTTTGCAGAGCAACCACTGAGCCAAGTAGAAAGCACTTTCTGTCAAACCGGGTATCACTCTGGCCACGTGACATATTATTATTATGTTATTATTTATATAGCGCCAACAAATTCCGTAGAGCTTTACAGTTGGTGGACGAACAGACATGTAGTTGTAACCAGACAAGTTGGACACACAGGAACAGAGGGGTTTAGGGCCCTGCTCAATGAGCTTACATGCTAGAGGGAGTGGGGTAAAGTGACACAAAAGGTAAGGATAGTATTAGACTAAGGACAGTTAAAAGATAGGAATCAGCCGGGAGCTATTAACAGTTTAATTGATACGCTTTTATAAAGAAGTGGGTTTTTAATGATTTTTCGAAGGAGCGGAGACTGGGTGAGCATCTAACGGAGGAGGGAAGTGTCAGGATTACTGTTTGATCCAGCACGTAGAACTGTACAGCACGGATGACAAATAAGTAACGTATTACCGGTCCTTAGAATGGCCAGATTTAACGTACAAAGAATAGTCAAAAATACTAGCCGAGGTCAGGGAACACAGAAAGGGACACAGCGATGAGGAAAGCCAGGAGTCAGGATACCAGAATATAGAGAAGTCAATAAACAAAGCCAAAGTCAAAAACCAGGTAGAAAACTATAAACAGGAACGCGCTCTCGGACAACCACAAGGGAAACCACGACAGGGCACTGAGCAGGTTGAGAACTGGGCCTAAATACCCCTCCTTTCTTTCTGATAGGCTGTAACCGGCCTTTGACCCCAAAGTCAGTTACCAGGTTTCATTTGCATAATTGCTGCTCAGCATTAACCCTTCTGTGGATTAGGTTGCTGCTCGGCACAACTTTTCCTGTGTGGACAGTAAATGTCATTAACCACTTTTCTATAAGCGGATGAATACATGAGACCAGGTTTCATTTGCACAATTACTGCTCAGCATTAAACCTTCTGTGGATTAGGTTGCTGCTCGGCACAACTTTTCCTGTGTGGACAGTAAATGCCATTAACCACATTTCTATAAGCGGATGAATACGTGACAGGAAGTGAGTTCCACAGGAACTGTGCAGCCCTCGAGAAGTCTTGAAGGTGAGCATCAGAGGTGGGAGTACGGACAGAAGATTGACATAAATCTTCAGCAGAGTGTAAGGACCTAGACGGGACATACTTGTGTATTAGGGAGGATAGATAAGTGGGAGCATAGAGAGAAGGTACAGGAGAGGATGGGTGAGGGTCAGAATGGGGGAATAAGACACACAGAGAGGCTGAGGGAGCATAATGGGAGAATGAGACACATGGAAGGGCTGGGGTGAACGATGATGAAATAAGAAACATGGAGGGGCTGGGGGTTATAATGGGGGAATAAAAATCATGGGGTATCTGAGGGGGCAGAATGAGGGAATAAGACACATACAGGGCTGGTGGGTAGAATGGGGGATTGGGGGAATAAGACACATGAAGGGACTGGGGGACATAATGGGGGAATAAGACACATGGAGGAATGGAGGTCAGCATAGGGGAAAAAGACACAAGGAGGGGCTGGAGGGAGGGGGAATAAGGCAAGATGGAGGGGCTATGATGGAGGGGCTATGATGGAGGGGCTAGGAGGGCAGAATGGAGGAACATTACACATAGAGGGACTAAGGGGAGGGTGAGACACATGGAGGGGCTAGAGGGAATGAGACACATGGAGGGCAATGGTTTCTAGTTATGCCTCTGGGTGTGAAATAAGAAAACCGATATACATGGATGGTGGTCTTTAGCAGACAATGGCGTTCTGGTCTCAGAGTACACACTAGGTGGCCACAGGGCCGTCTTTAATAATGATTGGGCCCGGGGCAAGCATTTGATAGGGCCCCCTGACCCTAACTCCCTGGCATGCAATCACGATCTCCACTTCCCAACGCAGTAACGGAACCATTTTCCCATGCTTGCAGAGCTGTGTTTGTGTGTTTGAATGGAAGCATGTTTTTGTATGGAGTGTGTTTGTGTAAATGTTGGGGTGTGTTTGTAGGTGGTGTTGGTGTTTGAATGCATCTGTGTATTTTTTTTTTTAATGCTGGGTGTGTTTATATATATTTTTGGTGTTTAACACAAAGATGTATTTGTATGTATTGTTGACGTTTCAATGCAGGACTGTGTTTGTATGTAGTGTTGAAGGTTGAATGCAGGGGTGTACTTGTGTGTAGTGTTGGCGATTTGAATGATGAGATGTACGTACATGTACACATACACTGCCACACACACACACTGTGATACACAAATACACACTGAAACACATGCAGATACATAGATATAAACACTGACACTCACACTAACACACAAGCAGATACAGACTGACACAGATACACACACTAACACATACAGACACACAGATACACAACCTGACACACATACGGAGACAAATATACAAACACTGACACATATGAATACTCAGACACACTGATACATATACTGACACACATGCAGATACACAGATAAAAACACTGACTACATACAGATGCACACACACAGATATACAAACGCAGGTACACACACTGACAACGTACAGATACACAAATACATACAATGATAACTTACAGATACACACACTGACACACATACAGACACGCATATACAAAACCTGAGACACATGCAAAGACACACAGACCACATAGAGAAACAGATATACTAAATACAGATACACAGATATACATACTGACAGACATAATGACACACTGACATAGTGACACACACTGACAGACATACTGATACACACACAGACGCACACAGACACCCTGACAGACATACTCACACACACACATACTTAGATACACACAGACATACTAAGACACACACAAATACTGACACACACATGCAACGTTTACATTTTTACACATTGACAGGCATACTGACACAGTGACAGACAAACTGACATGCACACTCACAGACAAACTGAAACGCACAGACAGACATACTGACACGCAAAGACAGACATACTGACACACACAGACAAACTGACATGCACAGACAGACAAACTGACACGCACAGACATACTGACATACACACATAAGCCCTTGTAACGGACCGTTTTGCACACAAGGGGTAAAAACCGTTTAGGCGATCGGCCCCCTTTCCAGAGATGCAGGCACAGCTACTGCAGAACACCAAAACTCACGAACTGGATACAAAATAGCACTCCAACTCCCGAACTGGAACCTCCCAAATAGCTGTTAGCAGACGAACAGGAAAAGCAGACAATCAGCTTACACTCCTGGCAATCAGTCTCTAACAGCATACAGTGAATCCCCCCAAGAACGAGACAAGGCTCCGTGTTGAGGGTCAAGCAGTGGTCTGAGGTGCTGGCACACCCAGCCTGGTTTTTATTACAGTGTTTCAAATACAGGACCACCCACAGGGAGGGATAAAACAACCAATCATATCACAGTTACATCCCACATATTCCCTCCCCTTATCCTGAGAGGAAACTCAATTATACAAACAGTTAAAACATACTTTCTACCCAACTTTCATAACTCCAAAACCATACATCACATTCACATAAAATTACATATTCACAATCAATCCATTCAGGGGAACAACATATTCAAAAATGGCACAAATCAGACAAGGGGTTCAAAAGTTAGTAAAAAGTCCTTTGTGACTAAATGAAGCATGGCTTTCTGGCCCAAACCAGTTTCAGAGTCTTCTATCCTGGAGATAAGTAATTCAATTATCTCCCAGGATAGACACAAGACTCCATTAAGCACATGGTTGCAAAAAGACACAAAGCACTTTAAAATACATAAAGTCACATTTATACATAAAACACAGACATTTCACATATCCCCAGATAGCTCAGGTCTGAGCGCACATTATTAAGTGAATGGCGCTCGGACCACACAAATACAGTTTAATCACCATGGAGCCAAAGTCTTTACAGTCAGTTTCATACGAATGGGCTCCATGGGATTCCCATCTGGGGTATAACA